TATAAAAGTTAATCAGAATGACAAATCAGAATGAAACACATACTCCTTGAATCAAATACTCATTTTTTTTTTAGATCTGTGGCAACCTTCCACTTAAGAGAACAACTAACAAAAACCCCACAAAGTTTTTTTTTTTTTTTTAAAGCCTATAGTCTGCTGTCCAATACCATCTGCATCCAAATCTGCATCCCATGCTTTTTGTATGGTCACATAAAAAGAATCATCAACATGCTCATTATTTTGAACCAACTAGAAAAATTAACATAATCTAAGACTTCAAAAAAGAAAAGAATATACCATAAAGATTGCACGCTTACTGGAAAAATAATAATTTTATTATTTTAACAGAAACAAGAGGAATATATTATAAATATGAGCTTTTAGTCCTGGCTCTTCCACTCAATGATTTTGAAAAATTTCCTTAACCTCTTTAAATCCTTTAAAACCTCTTTAAATTCTTTAAAAACCTCTTTAAATTTCTTCATTTGTTATATGGGAAAAATAGGGCATGCTATGAAAAGAAAAGAAAATAACTGCCTGAGAGTATGATATTATCACCTTCCATTAAAACAAGCAATTGGTCCCCAAGAATAAGGAAATGACTCAAGGAAGGTCTTTGGAAAATATAATGAGAACTTCAGTAATATACTAATAACAACAAGTAATTTCTGACATGTTTAACTATCCTAATATTGACACACAGTATTCACATATTAGAAATGAAAAGGTAAAAACTTTGGAGGCATGTGAAAATTTTGTTGGTATTTTTGCAAAATATTTTTCAGTACTACAAAACCCTTTTCAATCATAATACTTATGATTTAACTTTATATACATATATTAACATAAGTACATAGTAATTTATACAATAATATATACTATATATTAGACATATAATAGGGGATATGTAACAGTTCACTAACTCAAACTCTACTTAGTCACCCAGTAAGGTGGATATTGCCATTTCCATTTTGTATCGAAAAAACAAAGGTTTAAAAAATATAAAACAACTTATTCACAGGCTCCTCTTTAGCAATCTTACCCACATTTTGTGTTTACTTTAGTACAGCCACACAAAAACAGGGCTCAAATAATTCAAATGCATAAACTGAGATTAGTAACAGATTTCATTTAGCCTATATGCTATGTGCATTTCTCTCATACACACTCACACAAATCACAAAACTATAGATACAAAAATTTACATTGTATACAGCTAAATACACACCAAACTGACAACCTTCTAACCAAACCAAACACCCTAATCAGGCATACCGAATTTAGCTTTGAAAATAAAGGGTTAAGAAAGGATAGAAAACAACTACCACTCAAAAGACATGCTAATAAATATTTCTGTGGGATGTATAATCACTGGCTTTTATTATAATACCTCTAAGCTAATGAGTGCTAAATCTCTATTTTCAACTCTAACCCTAAGTTTCAGATTCAAATATCGGATTGCTTCTTCATTTCAATTAACTTTCTAATACCTCACACCCCAGAAAGCTGGCATAACTTATCTTTCTTGCAAATTCACTAACAAGGTCTAGCCATTTTCTCTTTACGTATTTCTCTGAATCCAACCTATACACCAGCTAGTTCAGGCCCTCAAATCTCTGAAAAGACATATGAAATAGAAACCTTTTATGTGTATCTTATATCCACAAACCCACAGTGCCATCACTTACCTAAAATGCCCATCTGACCATGTCAGTCTTTTTCTTAAAAATCCTCTCAACAAACTCTAATAGATAAAGTTTAATCTCTTTAGCAAGGCAAGCCAAACCCTTAAGAGCCATCTACCTGGGGGCCGGCACCGTGGCTTACTTGGTTAATCCTCTGCCTGCCGCACCTGCATCCTATATAGGCACCAGGTTCTAGTCCCAGTTGCTCCTCTTCCAGTCCAGCTCTCTGCTGTGGCCCGGGAGGGCAGTGGAGGATGGCCCAAGTGTTTGGGCTCCTGCACCCTCATGGAAGACCAGGAAGAAGCACCTGGCTCCTGGCCTCAGATTGGCACAGCGCCAGCCATAGCAGCCATTTGGGGAGTGAACCATCAGAAGGAAGACCTTTCTCTGTCTCTCTCTGTCTATAATTCTGTCAAAAAAAAAGCCATCTACTTATACTGCTTGTACTACAGATTCAAGCAATAAATACCAATTATTAATAAACTATACTTGTGCTTTATTTACTAATCCCCTCTGCTTGGATATATCCTACAGTCACCTTTAACCGGATAACTTGTTTCCCAACAGCTGTTCCTGAGACCTTTCCTGCAACTCCCTTCTTACATGCCCTCACAGCACCTTGTGGCACAATGTTTTCATAAATAAAACATCACTCCTCATTGTAAGGCTTGACCTAATTTTAAAAAAGATCGATTGATTTATTTGAAAGGCACAGCAAGAAAGAGAAAGAGACAGAGATCTTTAATCCGCTGGTTCACTCCCAAATGGCCTCAACAGCCAGGTCTGGGCCAAGCCAAAGTCAGCAACCAGAAATTTCATCATGGTCTCCCACACAACTTGCAGGGTCCCAAGTACTTGGGCCATCTTCTGCTGCTTTCCCAAGCACGTTAGTAGGAAGCTGTTCTGGAAGCAGAGCAGCTGGGACTCAAACTGCACTCCGATATGGGATGCCGGCATCACAAGTAGCAGCTTAACCCCTAACCCACTATCATAAAGTCTGTCATGGGAATATCCCATATCCCACTCTTCAATCTCCCTATATAGCAGTCTATCATGTACACAGAAAGCACTCAATGTAATTCTAAATAAACCAAATGCATACTACCACAATTATCTTCCAGATTTTTCATTTTTTTGAGGATTAGATTTTATGCTGATGAATCTGATACTTCAAATAATAAACATTCTATATATTAGTCACTTTCAGTTATAAAGAAAGTAAATCATTTAGTACCATCAAAAGTATTAAGCAAAATAAGAAAAAAAGTTTTCAATAAAATAAAAGAGATGCCCTTAATCACACTATTTACAAAACTATATTAGGAGGTCATACAGGTTGTTATTTACAAAACTGATCAGACCCAAAGATGCACCCAATAACGAAAACGTGAAGCAGCTTCAGAAAGGTATCTGGTAAATATTCCAAATACATGAAGTAAAACTTCAGTGATTTAAAGAAATAAATGCCCTTAAAGATAACCAACAACGCAAGAATCAATGAGTTACAACGCATGAATCAATGAGTTATAGATCATGAAAACAATGCATGAATAAATGACTTAATGAACTTGAAGGGACTATGAATGTAACCAAAACATAATTCAATTAGTCATTTTTAAAGTATCCCAAAATAACCAAACGCACCACCAACTGTGTAAGAGTTAAAGTACCCATAAATACCTTCATTATAGCTCATCTTATTTATGACAGTGGGAAAGAACACAATCCTAAAACTAATCACCTGTGAATCACATTGTTACATGTCATCAAATACGCAGAGTAAAACAAGGTAGGAAAAATTAAACTCCCCCCAAAAATCCTACCCTTCGTTTTTATACATCGCACTATCTTTGCCTCTTCCCCCAAAACTTCATCACAATATTTTAAAAAAAGGAAAAATTAAACGACCCCCAAAACTCTACCCTTCGTTTTTATGCAGTGCACTATCTCTGCCTCTTCCCCCAAACTTCATCACAATAAAAAAAAAAAAAAAAAAAACATACAAAAACCAAAAACATGAACACAAAAGCTGGCTTTTTGCACGATTTGCAATTCAATGGTTCTCTCTTGTGGGTTCTTCAGTATTGTTTTAGCACACTGCTATTAGTGATCCTTTCCTTTTATAACACCGTGCATTCTTCTGAAGAATCGCCAATTACTTCTTTAGGCAATCAGGTTTTCTATCTATTGGTAATTAAAGAAAATCTACTTCCTGAGCTAAAATGCGTACGGAACTAAAATTGTGCACTTACAGTATTAATAGCTAACACTGAAATAGTCCTTTTTCCGCACGAAGTGCTTTATACGTATTCATTCTTTTAATCCTTAAAAATATCTTTAGGCGCTATTATTTAGACTGGCAATTTTTTCCCCTCACAAATACCTGGCAAAACTAGGGTTAACTTGAGTAGCCTGATTTTCTTCAAACACAAATCTCCTAAGTTTCGCATCTTGAATTTCCATGTTCTATTCATTTCTTTCTGCAGACCCATTAACAGTTCTCTCAACACCTATAAAAACGTCCACTGACCATTAAGAATACAAAATACTCTGCCTCCGCTAATACTTTACTTCATCTTGATTAATTCAAGCTGTTGGAAAAATTCTCCAGGTACTGATAACCGATTTTATAAATTTGTAAGAAAAGTTGTCTTTCTACGTAATACTGGGATCGCCTTCCGTCAAACACAAGTTCCTCTATGGAGCCTTCCAATGAGCTGGCACTCTCATTACACCTGCTGTTCGACAGGGCTACCTCCACACAAGAATTTATGTTTCCACTCTTCTCTCTTCGATAGAAGGCTACTAGAAATTTTAAAATATTCACTTCCCCTTTTCTAGAACATTTCTCTTCAATCTTAACGTCTTTGCTCACTAGCGCTAGAAAAACGTGGCTACTTTCTTTGAAGGTCCAGCGCCACCAGGCTTGTACTAAGTCGCGCCGATTCCTGCGTGTTTTTCTGCCTACGCACGAGAATCTTCCAGAAGGTTTTGGTCATTTGGAGGAAAAAAAAAAAAAAAAAAAAAAAGGCGGCGTCGGCCGGCCATGTTGGTTTTCCGCTCCCGTGGAGATCTACTCGGTCCGCCTATGAAACTTGAGACGCCGGAGTCCTGCGACTGCGTCAGACTCGGAGGAGGTTTTGCGCTTCCGAGAGGCGCCCGCGCCGAGGACTCTAACGCCGGGCGTCCCGCCGGGGTGGCGCACCCTGGGGGCCCGACTCCTCTCGCCACCGCGGAGCGTCAGGAAACGGAGGCCGCCTCACGTCCTGCTAGGAGACGCGGCGGGCGTGCGGCGGTTTCGGACGCGGTACTTACCAATGTGAGGCGTTGCCTGAATTCTCCTCAGCGGGTTTGAGCACGACCCTCCGGAGATTATTGGACATTTTTGAGGGGTGGGAGGGGGCAGCGCATCCAGGGAAATGGGGGCGTGTGGGGCCGAGGTTCTCGGAAGGGCGAGAACTAGAGCGAGAATGTTGGGCTCAAGAAGTTGCCTGGCAGAGAGGGTTCCACGAGAAACGGAGGGCGACCACAGCCTCTTGAGAGGATGCGAATCCACCCAGAAGCCGGAAGACTCCCGGCGGTGACGGCGCGCGCTCGGCGCTGCGAGTCTGCCCTAGGCTCCGCCCCCCCGAGCCGCTGACAGCGCTCCCGAGCCAGCCGGAGCGGGCGCGAGAGGCGTGCCCCTCATGGCGCCGCCCCCAGCAAGGCTGACTCAGGGGAGAAGACTGCCGCCCGCTTAGCTCTGCCGACCCCGCCCACCGAGCTTCGAGCGGAGAGAGCCTTCCGCTGTCGTCACGTCCGGTCGCCAACGTGACTGGCTCGCGGGAGCTCCGCCCTCCTAGGACGACCCAATCGCAAGTGATATTGCTCTCTTCTTCCGGATCAAGGAACGAATCGCGAAAGAAAGTTCTTCAAACACCTACGCGAAATAAAATGCTTCCGGGGTCAGTAGTAAATTTTCTGCCGTTGTGTTCGCCGCTGGTGTAATGTTCCTGCTCCACCACAGCCTTAAGGAACGGCAGCGGGCTGTTTTGCAGTCGTCGTATGCTTGTTGATAGTGATACATTATCGCCAGTCTCTGAATGTCCCTTGTTCCTCTTTTTGAAGCTTTGCTTCGAAGTCTGTTAACCCTTGCTTCTACCCCAACATTCTTGTCTCAGTCAAAACTTAGTGTCATACACTTAATTCCCGAATTCTCTAAAAGTTTCGTTCTCTAGGTAAACTTTTTTAGCTACTTTGTTTTTATGTATAGGGAAAACATTTTCAAAAGTATCTCTTTTTGTCTCCCCCATCCAAAGAAACCTTTTATTTAAGGAATACAAACCGTACATTTCATAAATAGAACTTTAGGAATATAGTGTTTCCTCCCAGCATACCCATTCCCCCAACCCACACGCCCACTCCTTCTCTTCCTCCCTCTCCTATTCCCAGCCCCATTCTCCACTAAAATCCATCTTCAATTAACTTTATACACAGAAGATCAACTCTATTCAAAGAGTTCCACACTTTGCAGGGAAAACAAAAAAATACTGTTCCTCACCAGAGGAGACAAGGGCTATTCAAAGTCATTGCATCTTGAAGTTAATTTCACTTTTTTTTTTTTTGAAACTTAATTACCTTTAAAGAAGTACCCAAGAATGAAGCATCCTTTGTGGGAACTTAGACATCATATAGCTCTTTGAGGATAGAGTCATGCATGGGGAGTTAGTGCACAGTGACTCCTGTTGTTAACAATTAACATTCTTAAGTGTGACGGCAGTGATCACCTGATGCTCTTGAGCTGCCTAGGCTATGGAAGCCTTTTGAATCCACAAACTCTGTCAGTATTTAGACAAAGCCATAAGCAGAGTGGAAGTTCTCTCCTTCCTTCATTGAAAAGTGTGATGTCCACTTCTTTCCAATAGAGTCTCACCCACTGAGGTCCTTCATGTAAGACATTTTTTTTTTTTTTTTTTGCCACACTGTCTTGGCTTTCCATGCCTGAAACACTTATTTTTAGTTTGATTTTATATACAGAGGACCAACTCCATGTTAAGCACAGATTTCAACAGTTTGCACCCACACACACACATGACATATGAGTACAGTTTGGGAACAAAATTTGCAGTTGATTCTCATAGTACAACTCATTAAGGATGGAGGTACTACATGGGGTGTAAGTGCACAGTGACTTCTGTTGTTCCTTGAATAATTAACACTCATTAATGACGTCAGTGATCACCCGAGGTTCCTGCCATGGGCTACCAAGGCTATGGAAGCCTTTTGTGACTCCATTGGTATTTGGACATGGGCATAAGCAAAGTGGATGTTCTCCCTTTAGAGAAGAGTACATTCTTGAGTACATGACCCTTGCTTTCCACAGAGATCCTCCGTGTAGGATATTTTTGCCACAGAGTCATGGCTTTTCATCCCTGAAATGCTCTCACAGGCCTTTCTGCCAGACCAGAAAGCCTTAAGGGCTGGTTCTGATGTCAGAGTGATATTTATGGTGAATGTCATTCTAGGAGTCTGCTGTGTGGACTGCTTCCCATATTGGACTTTCCTTCCTTTTTAATTCTATTTTTATTACCAGGCACTTTATGTTATTTATATGATCACTTTTACACTTAAACCTACCTGTATGTTGATTTAACATTTAATATCATCATTTTAACAGTTAAGGTGGTATTTATGCTACCTATTTTTATGGGTTTGGTGTCCCATGCCAAGTTTTTAGGCTGTACCCTTAGAGGTAAGTCTGTAGGACTGTATGCAGACCAGAATGACTTAAGGACTGATTCTGAGGTCAGAGTGCTATTTAAAGCAATTGTGATTCTATGAGCCTGCTATTCAGAAGCCTCTTAATTCCTGCTGTTAAGTCGCTATCTGAAAAATGGCTTCGGGATGGTGAATGGATAAAAATTCTTGTTCAGCTTTACCTGGATTAGGTGTGAGAGGAGTGCTTTTGAAGGTCCATTTCTATCAGGTATGGGAGTTTCCATGTAAATCGGTTCACACTGTTCAAATATAGGGTGATGACACCAAAATAGCCAATTTAAAGATTTTGGGTCTTTAAAAATGCAAGTTACATTCTCCTAACTCCTTAATGAAGTAATGCTGATTAAAGACCTTCCAAATACGTTCACATGAAACAAGACTTTCTAACTTATTCACTCTGTGTTAAAGGTTAGCTTCAACTATACAGAATCCACATCTACAAGTATTGCTTATCGTTCAGTCAAATATCTCCCATACTAAAGAGGGAGCAGAGTGGTGGGCAATAATGCTCAGTCTGGGATATCCTATCTGTGAAAACAAAATTACTTGAAAGAATTTCCCATTCTTCCTTGTTCCATTTTGTCACAATTCTTGTCTTACCTTTTGCAGTCTAGTTTCTCATCTTACCCATCACCAGATTCTATAAAGAAATATTAGTATCAGTTTGGGTCCCTTTGGAAGCGGACTCTTAGGATAGATTTTTGGTATGCAGGAAGTTTATTAGAGATAGATATCCAGGGAAAGAAAAGAAAGGAAGCAAATTTAGACAGAGGGAGAAGTTAAGCTGTGATGCCCAGTCTCAACAAAGGCGTTAGACTGTTCCACATGGAACTCCAAACTAAGAAAGAAGTAAAGTTTTCACCAGTGGGGTGAGAAGGATTAGCCTTGATGCTCCATGATAATCAGCAAATAGTTGCAGCCTTTGCCAAGGAAAGCTTTATGATCTTATGCAACAAGATGTCTTTAGCCAGGGCAATTTTCAAGGAAGCTGATAGCTGAGGCATGTTTGTTGGCAGCACTCCCAGCAGCTGGGAAAATAAAACCTTCATTCCTAAAGGCAGTTCTTAGACATACATCAAAGCATATCTTGCGCTCCTTGAACCACTCAAACACTGTTTATTGCAATTGATGCTATTTATCGCACACTCATTCAAAATATTTTCTCAGCACCATTATTTCCTCACTCCTGATGCCCTGGATAGTCTAGTTTTATGAGTCCCTCCTGCCATTTTGTTTATAACTCCTCAGTCTCTTTTGATTATTTAGTCTTCCCTTTTTAGTCATTGAATTAGAGTTCCTCACTGATCTTATTTTTTCAAACTTCACTGTTTCTCTAAGAACTGCATCCATTCTCTTGGCCTAAACTACTGTCTATACACACCATTGCTCTAACAATCTCGTATGTAATACTTCCAGACACTGTCCTTTGTGTTTTAATACATTAAGTCAATTACTCCTAACAACTAGTAAAGAACTCATACATATGAATAAACTACCCAGAGAGAGTAGATAGTTTTCCAGAGGTCATATTTGTGAGTAGTGGAGCCAGAATTCAAATATAGATTTTCTGATTGTAAATTTTGTATACTTTACTGTCTATGCAACTCAAATTTATATCCCCATTATTTCTTCTCTTAGATCTGTACATTGATGTCAAGATGAATTATTGAGAACTATTTGGATATTTTAAATGAAATATGTTCAAAACAAAACTTCAGGCTCTTTTCCATTCACCACACGTTTTCCATCATTAGTGTTTTTCTATTTCCAGAAGAAAAACACATTCCATTATATTAAAGATGCTGAGATCCAACTGCTATCCTTCCTTATTTTCTTCTACCCATCCAAAAAAACTGTCAGGGATAGTGCATTCCAAATAGGTACATGCCTTATCTCAATGCAATCTTGCCCAAAATTTATATTTAAAACTTAACCAGGGAAATTTCCTTGTGAAGTGGAATTCAGTTGGCATAAACAGCAACGGTTCTTTGGTATCCTTAGCACATTTACATTGTCTTCTAAATTCATTGAGTAAGGCAGGCTAAGGCTTAAATTACTTCCTTTCTCTAACATGTTTTAAGGCAGGGTAGGGGTTACCCTCAAGAGAAACTCTGAGGCCGGTGCCGTGGCTCAATAGGCTAATCCTCCACCTTGCAGCGCCGGCACACCGGGTTCTAGTCCCAGTCGGGGCACCGGATTCTGTCCCGGTTGCCCCTCTTCCAGGTCAGCTCTCTGCTATGGCCCGGGAGTGCAGAGGAGGATGGCCCAAGTGCTTGGGCCCTGCACCCACATGGGAGACCAGGAAAAGCACCTGGCTCCTGGCTTTGGATCACCGCGATGCGCCGGCCGCGGCAGCCATTGTGGGGTGAACCAACGCCAAAAAAAGGAAGACCTTTCTCTCTGTCTCTCTCTCTCTCACTGTCCACTCTGCCTGTTAAAAAAAAAAAAAGAGAGAGAGAGAGAGAGAGAGAGAGTAACTGTGAGCTGATAGGCCAAAACAAGTAGGCTTATTGAGTACAGTTACTCTAGAAAGAAAAACAAAACACTGAATAACATATACCATGTGAAGCAGAATAATTGGGTTAGATGAAGTAAATGATTTAAGTTATAGGCCATTTGTTAAAAAAAAATAGGATGGTATTCAAGTATCTGAAGCAAAAACAATCACAAATATGAAAAGTTTTTAATGAAATAGAATATATAGTGGATAAGCAAGATATGAAGACAAAGAATGAATTAGTCATGGAAAGATCTTTTTGAAGAACTATTCCAAAAGGCAGTGAAAATGAATATAAAGATAGGGAATATTAAAAATAAGGCAAAAAATAAAAAAGGCAAAAAATAAAATGATGTCTTGGTAGTAGAAATTCCAGAAAAAAATATGGAACACTCAAATAACAGAAAAAAAATTCTCAGAGATAAAGAAAGTAAAAAAAAAAAAAAACACTTAGTTTAAGGGGCTGTGATGCTGCCAAATTGGAAAGATAAAGAAAACTCATGCTTAGGTTAAGTATGGTGAAAGTTAACAATATGAAAGCACGGAGCAGGCAACTCATATCAGGTTGTCACTTAGGATGCTGGCATCCCATATCAGTGTGCTGGTTTGAGACTCAGCTGCTCCACTTGTGATCCAACTTCATGC